TATAGAAAAATATTCATTCAACTTGCGTTGCCACGTCTTCTTAAAATTGGAAAAGTTAACCTACATTCTATTACATGTTAAGAAGTAAATGACGTGGCGGATTATGATTGGTTTTAACAAAAAAACCTAGTCATCAATGAAAAAAATACTGAGTAAATTAACACCTAGTCAATTACACACACACACACACAGAAGACAAACAAAACCTAGTCAATGAAAAAATTACCAAGTAAAACACCTAGTCAAATGACAAAATTACTATTTTGTAAGTTAATTTTGAGTTGATATCAAATGATCGATACTTGAAAAGTCCTCAATTACAGAAAAAAAATAAAAAAAATAAAAAAAAAATACAAGAACACAAATTAATAATATCCTCGATCAAGCATCGCCAAATTTATTCATTTGCACTCCATCCTCAACCTTATTGCCATCACCATCACCTTCCTCCACAAATCTCTTCCAATACCAATGCTCCCTCCAAATCCCCGACATATCCTCGATCGGTATCCCCTTCGTCTCCGGCACAAACTTCCACACGAACACCGTCATCGCCATCACAAAAACCGAAAAGAACACAAACAGCCCAAACTTCATCACGCACAGCATCTTCAAAAACATCTCCGCCACGAAAAATGTAAAAATCATGTTGACCGCCACGTTCACGCTCTGCCCCGCCGACCTCACCTCCAACGGCAGCACCTCGCTCGGCACCAGCCACCCCAGCGGTCCCCACGACCATGCGAACGCCGCCACGTACAGGCATATCGCCACCACCACGAGCCCCGCGTACCACTTGGGCAGCTCCCCCGGGTCTCCGTCCACCCCAAACTTCCCCCCGATGCATGCCGTTATCACCACCTGGCAGACGAGCATCTGTAGCCCACCCTCGACGAACAGCACCCGCCTCCCGAACCTATCCACCGTGAGAATCGAGACCAACGTGGCGGCGCTGTTGACGATCCCCGTGATCACGGCCGACATGAGGGACGCGTTGCTCCCGAAGCCAATGGTCCGGAAGAGAACGGGCGCGTAGAACATGAACACGTTCATACCCGTCAGCTGCTGGAAGAAAGGGATGGCCGTCACCATCGTCAGGTGGGGCCGGTGCTTCCTCGACAGGAGCTCCGTCCACGGGCGGCGGCTCTGACCGGTCGAAGAAGCCGCCACGCTGGCGGCGGCAACGAGGTCGTTGAATTCGTCGAGCACGTCGTCCATGCCGCGGACCTTGCGGAGCATGGCGAGGGCGCGGTCCGAGTGGCCGCGCTCGATTAAAGAGTTGGGTGTGTCCGGGAGGAATAGGGAGCCGACGATGAAGAGGAGGGCTGGGGCAGCTGCGCAGCCGAGGCTGACCCGCCAGCCGGACTCTGACTTGGCGGTCCAGTAGTTGATGAGGTTGGCGGCGAGGATGCCGAGGGTTATGAAGAGCTGGAAGCACATGTTGAGGGCCCCACGGTAGCGGTATGGGGCCATCTCCGAGAGGTAGACTGGCGCCGACTGCGCGATTTTGAAAACAACTTGTCATCAATCATGCATCAATTAATCATTCCGAAAATGCTACTATCCTGTTATGGGTTAGTTCCATTATATTTTTGTAGCCATAGATATAAATGTAATCTAGTATTGTGTAGATAATCTATGCTTAAAAAATACAACGGAACTGTCCTGTGACAAGATGGTAGCATTCTCCCATTCAGAGTATCAAAATTAACATGAAAAGAGACCTGATTAGCGAAACCGATGCCGAAGCCTAGGAAAATCCTGCCGAAGATAAGCATGGCGACGTTTTGTGCGAAGCCGTTGAGGACAGCGCCGGTAAGGAAAAGGGAGCCTCCCAGAAGCATGGAGCACTTGCGGCCGAGCAGTCGGGTCACGTGCGATGCGAATAAGGAGGCGACGAGGGCCGCCAGATAGAGGGACGACGTGAAGAGCGTCAACGTGGCATCATCGAACTTGCAGTAGGAGTTTGTGCCGGGGACCATGTTCTCCTCCTTCTCGTACACGTGCGGGAAGAATTTCTTCAAGAACGAGGGCATCGACGTCACCCCGCCTGCTCCAAAAAATATATTTTAATAATTAATAAAATAATAATCAGAGATTTTAGATAATAAAAAAACAGAACTTTGTGGGTTTTAATAAATCTCTCTAACCTGAGATACCAATGTCGTAGCCGAAGATGAGACCTCCCATGGCGGCAACCAAACATGTGATGAACACTTTGCCGGTGAGTTTTCCGGGGTAGGCCTTGCCGCCCTTCGTGATAATTACGCCGCCGGCCATTGTTTAGTTTAACCTTTTGGTGTTTAATTAACTGGGGAAATTGAGAAGATTAAAAAAAAAAAAAAGTACAATTACGAAGGGTACGCGTGTGCTATATATAGAGAGATGTTAGCAGGAGAATTGAAGTAGCTTTAACTAACTACTCGTTAATCCCATTTTGGATATAATTGTGTTATCTGTTAGTAGATTTATTAGAAAGATTTGTTATCCCGTGCAAGATTTTTTGGGGTACAATCGGATTTTTATCTAATCAGTTGATAAAATATTATCCGTAGTAATTAATTGTTCGAATAATTACCCATTCATGAGCAAAAAAAAAG